GGATGCATCTTACCACTTTCTGCTGAAGATGCATTCATTCTCTTTCCTTTTCGACAAAGGTGTGGCGAAGCCCTAACTCCTCCCGGGAAAAACAACGAGTGCATCTTCCCGCACAGCGTGAATTCGAATAGAATACTAATACGAACACCCTGACTGCCGCCAGCATTCTGCTGTGCACACCTCCAAACCCACTTCAGCCCGGCCTTCCCAATCCGGATCTGAAAATCGCACCCTCGCGATATCGCCCGAAATGGAAAAACGGCCGCCGTCCATGAAAACGGCCCACCGACCGCTTTTCGTGACCGCTGGTCGGCCCCCCTCCAACCGCACTCGCGACCACCCGGCCTACCAGTCTCTGCCCCGACAGCGACCGCACCCTTCAATTACCCATGTTACCGCCCTATAAACCCCTTTTGCCGTCGTCGACATTTCCTGAAAAAGACATCCTCGCTACGCGACAAAATGCAACCGGTATAGCGCAGCCTCCTGGCTGCGAACTACTGGATACCTCTTCAGGGCCTTGCTGAAGGGTGCTATGCCACGCTCCGGGCAAGTACCTGGGGTGCAATCGACACCAACCAATTGTGCTCGGGGGAAATTGTGGCCTGACAAAGTCGAACCCGCAACCTTCCTGTTGCAACACCGGAGCTCTGTCCAATGAGCTACCACACACTTGCTTTACCAACTGGCTGTCTCCAAGGTAAGAGGCCAAGCATGCCACAGGCACTATTGTGGGGAATGGGAGTTGAACCCACGATCTCCTGAGTGCCGCTTGAACGCCTTTCCAACTGAGATTCTGGCGTGTATAAATAAGAACAGCTGGAGCCAGCCTACCATTTCTTTAATCCCCGAATTAAATTTGTTCGCTAGTTTCTGTTTCCCTTCGTCATGGCTGGCCCATTCCTGCCAGTAGTTCTTTTACCCATTCCACCACCCCTTCATCCTCTAGAATGTAGAGGTGCAGTCTAAAAAGATCATTCTTCTTGATGATGGGATCCACTATGCTGAATGTGCAAGATTTTGGCATGGGCCTCCGTCCACCGCACAATCTAGACTGTATTTTGGACAAGGTGCAGCAGGACTGGTCCAAAATGTTGAATGTACTAGGACCATCACCTGGTTCAGATACATTTAGAATGTTCTGCAGTGGAGAAAGGCCCAATGTTCTCGTTGTCTACATGAACTGCGGATCAATCAGAGCCTTTTTCTTCTTCTTTTTTTTTTTTTTTTTTTTTTAAGACTCAGTGGACCCTAATAGGATGGGTGATAAAGCCCCCCCCCCCTCCCTACTAGGGTCTATGCTGGTCACTCCATCTATTGGTGGGGAGCTGCACCTGCTGGAAAACGGGTCCAGCATCCCATTTGAACATGGAAACTTAGTACTTAGTCTATTGGAAGGATCAAGAAGATATCAAGTCAGTTCTGGTACGAGGACTGAAAACATGGACCGACGTTCCGTCTGTTAGGGGGGGAGTTTTTGGATGGTAGGCAGTTTCAGTTTTGATCCCCCCCTCATATAATTTTCCAAGCCTTTTCAGACTCTGAAGTTTTAGCCTATCTCATGAGGTCTTGAGAATGCCTTAGGATTCTGGGTAGCTCTCGCAAAATCATTTTAGGTTTGTAATGCTGTTATATTCATGGATCTGCAGGTTTTCGATGCCAGAACGACGCTGGCCGGAGCTGGGGGGCTGCCCTGTAACCTGTTGACAGCAGGAGCGTGAGGCCTGGTAGAGAGATCTGGGGATGCCTTGGGCCGGGCATTCCAAGGGAAAACCAAGGGTCGCTGTCGCTACGACGCTGGCCGGAGCTGGGGTGAGCTGTGTTGGCCTGTAACCTAGCAGGATGGGTGCATGAGGCCTGGGAAAGCTCGGCAGGGAATAAGACAGTGTTAGAAAATTTCAGAATGTTTTGCTGGGGATTCCAGGGGTTCTGAGCATTCAAAGGGCTTCTCCGGTTTTCCGTTTTGACTTAGTAAGTGCTGCTTGAGTAGCCTAGCAATAGGTTAGCAGGTATCCATGTTTTTCTATACTTTCTAGAACCTTTTCATAGTTCTCAGATTGCTCTTAGCCGGAGCCAGGCAATGGCCCTAGTATTTCAAATCTTTTGTATAATTCTATATGGGACGCTGGGCCCGGTTCCCAGCACGTGTTGCTCCCCGCGAATAGATTGGAGCATTTTGTCCCAAAAAAAAAAAAAAAAAAAAAAAAAAAAAAGATATGCTTGTGTGTACATAGGCTGAGACCAAAGCTCTTCACCCTTCAATGGGCGCCAGATCTAGCAACCTTTTCTAGTCCAGAATTACCCATGACCCAAGCCCACTCTTCTGCAACACTCTGTGACCAAAACACTACCCTTACTATCATCTTGCTTTCTTTCCACTTCAGTCATAGCCAAACCACGATCTGGGTACCATAGACAATGGAGGGGGGGGGGAAGGGTCAGGGAAATCAAGGACAAAATGTAGGGGAATAGATGGATCACATGTTGTCCAGTCTCCAAAGATTAGCCTATAACCTCTACTTATCTCTTCGTCATCCCCTCCCATAGCCCCTTCCCATTTTATTTTTCCCAATTTCCTGCCCTGGTTTCTCTTTTTTTTTCCAAAAGAAAGGGCCCAGTGCCCAAGGCTCCAATTATGAAATTGATTACAACACTTATACGCACGCCTCTTCCCATTAGGGCTGGAAGAGCCTCAGCCACTGCTCCCCTGGAGACAGCTTCCCTGCATAACACAAATATAGCATAGTCGCGGGGCATTGATTGCTCCCCCAGTGAGGAAGGATTGACACCGTTGTGTGCAGATTAATCTCTGCCCTACGAAACTCCTCACCTATCCCTACTTCAATCTTCTACACGGTGAGGAGTAGCGGAGATATCAATAAGGCAAAGAGATTGACAACAGGGCAAGAAAGTTTAGTAGTCCATTAGTAATTACGATGAGCTTCCCCTACACAGCAGTAGTTACCTACCAGCCAGCTGGAACTGAATTGGTGAATGTATTTGAGAATCTCAGTTCGAGAAGATAAATGCTTTTATTTTTGGGGTAACTTCGGCGCAGTCACGAAAACAGTTTGTAATTGCACTTCAGGCAATCCCGCGAATACAACACACCCCCACGCGACCCCACCGGACCCGAAACGTAGGTCACATACATTCAGCATTACCGGCCCTTTTGCCTCAACTGCAATTACAAACTCAATCCCTGACTGCGCTGTAGTTTTCTCTTTATTTTTTCTTTTACCTGTTCCCATTTTTCAGTGGAAATGTCCGTTTGTATTTGTTGTTTGATTGCTTTCGTAAGCTCTGGGCC